AAGCCAAGATTTAGAGAAAGGACAAACCAAAAGCATAATTTTCCATTCTCAGTTACTGATAGAATGAAAACACATAATGAAAAAATATATTTTATGACAACACAGATGACATAGTACAGCATATGGAATATCCCTGTGTCATAAGCAGTGGCAGTTAGTTATGATAATTTATTATAAGAAATTAAGATTCTAATACATTCCAAAAAGAGTAAGAATTGCAGATTAAGCTCTATTGTTAAAAATTTTCTTTGTATCATTAACAGATGTTATATTTTTTCCTACCACTTTGGAATTGTTGATGTAGTTATCAAAGAAACTTACAAAGAGCCTTCATTTAAAAGTCTAAACATGTAACAAACTTGACATACTACAAAGATTATACTTAAAATATTGCAGCAAAAAGATGAATGAATGAAAAAAGTAACTCACTGGGTTACAACACCAAGAATTTATTCCCATGCTCATTGGTCAGAAGGTTGACTGCACTTTGGCTGAATATGGCTGGGCTCCGCCGGGCTGCACTGCTGTAGGCTGCTGGTACAGCTTGTTTGACTCCTCACTGCTGCTGCACACAGGTCTGCCCTATATATGTTCACTCTGGGGTCAAGGTCAAGTGGGCATTAACGATGTAGGACACGTTCTCATAAGTCCAAAAGCGCAGGCACAACCATCCAAGTAGTAATTGAGCTTCTGAGTTCCTTACGTTCCCTAATTAACTGAGTTCAAGCCACATAACTGAGCTCAACCTCAGGGGCAGGGAAGTACATCCTGGCCACCATGAGGCCATACAAGGGTGTGGATGTATAATTCTATAAAAGGGAATGACAAATTGGGACAAAAATGGAATCTCCTATATTCCTCTTACTTTTATTTTCCCTCAAGTTCAACATTCCTCTTACTTCGATCAGTCATCATAAGATACCACTTCTAGGTCTTTCACCATACTCACACTGCTCTTCTGTACCAATTTTAGTCCTTCAGTACTCCTGTTAAATCACAATGCTCAGAACTGAATATGATACTCCACATGGGGTCTGACCTGTATTGATTTCTCCTAGTGAATGGCTAGAGAATTTAAAACCTTACCTAGACAGGAGCACTGCCAAGAAAATATAAATGAAATGATTTGGGAAAGTTTTGGTTTTTCTTAAAGATTTGTTTGAGAGAAAGAGATGTGCACCCGTGTTCAAGCACATCACAGACATGAGCAGGGTGAGGGGCAGAAGGAGCGGGAGAGAATCTCAAGCAGATTGAGATCATGACCTGCGCTGAAATCAAGAGTCAGACAGTCAACTGACTGAGCCATCCCAGTGCCCTGATTTGGGAAAGTTTTAAAAATAAAATACTAGCTTCCCTTCCCTACTGAGTAGTAGTTAAAGACATTTTTCTTCTAAAGCATAAGAGAAAGAGGGGATGCCTGGGTGGCTCAGTTGGCAAGGTATTTGCCTTCGGCTCAGGTCATGATCCCAGGGGCCTGGGATTAAGTATCACATCGGGCTCCTTATTCAGTGAGGAGCCTGTATCTCCCTCTGCCTCTGCTGTTCCCCCTACTTGTGCTCTCTCTCTCTCTGATAAATAAATTAAAAATCTTAAAAAAAAAAAAGCATAAGAGAGGCAATTCAGAGTGATAAACCCAGATTCCACATAAAGAAATTATCCTCTAAATTCTGTTTTTTAATTTCAAGAACCAAATTCTCTACCCTGATAAGAACCACATTCTCTATCTTTAGGCCATTTTAAAGTTTATTAAATCACTTAAATATATACTCTCTAAATTAATTTCAGTTAATTCATTACAATTCTGAGCTAGGTATTATTTTTGTTCTTCCTGAAAGATGAGGAAATTGAGGGTTAGACAGAAGTCCAGTGAACAATGTCTTTCTTAACTCTAGGCCAGTAGGAAAGACACCTCTTCCCTCCACCAGGAACATTCCTCCCTGACAACCTCCTTCTTTTGCTGGCCTAGCTATTATTCATCCTTTCAGTTTCTAGTCAAATAGCACTTCCTCCATAAGCTGTGCCTAGCTTTCATTTTTTCAATCAATATTTGAGTCCATTTAGCAGTAAAGGACTCTACAAGGTGCTGGGGTGAACAAAACACACACAGTCCTTGCACTTAAAAGGCTTAGCATCTGGCTGGAAAAACTTAAATAGCTACACAGTTGACCAATTAATTACAAGCGCAAGAAGCACTACAGAACAGAAGCACATTACCATCTGAGTGTGAGTTAGAGCTGACTTCTGTGTGCTCAGGCTCTTCCTCCTCATGGCATTTAGCACACTTAATTATAATTAGCTGTTTGTCTTTAACCCACACTTTATAACCCACTATGAGTGGAAAGTACAGGCATTAACTAAACTGTATTGTCATAGCTTGGTATAACTTCTGTTTAACACAAATACTTAATATTAATGTGTGGAATGAGTGATTAAATGATCAAGTGAACTTGACCAAAATACTAAATTAATGAACCAGAATAAGATTTGAACTTAGGACTCCAATTTCCATAATTTGCCTTTAAATAGCATTAGTAAGAAATGGTAATGATTCTAAGAAAAGTTAGTATTACCCAGCTACACAACTACAAATAAAAAATAATTAATTTATACATACATATTATTGATAAACTATGCCTACCTGTAACATGAAAATCTATGTACACACAAGTATCATACAGTATCTCTCTGATACTAACATAAATATACTATAAGTAACCCCACAGACCTTATTTATTCTGATAACTAGTTAGGCATTTGTAATGAATATGATAAACATATAAACTTGCAGATTTAACTGACAAGTTACAAATGAGCTCATGCCTAAATAAGTTGTAACAACATTAGCTATAATATATATAATAAACACAAATATATACAAATTTGGGATTATTATTTTAAAATGCAATGAAAAGTAACTTCTTAAATGTATGATTCAAAGTTCATGCTCCAAAGAATAATGCTATAAAAACTCTTGCATTTAATAAAACAATTGTTCTTTCACTCTATAAGCATATATTCATAGCATGATCAGCTATCCTAACAGCTAAAGACATTAAAACATTTTATTTTCTTCTGAATATTGCATTTTCCCTTGAATTTATAGAAATTGTAAATACAACCCCCAAACTGCTAGCACATCTTTCTTTTACTTTCTTCCAAAAGAATCACTTTAAGCTAGTCTTATGAAGGGGATTAGCACCATCTAGTGAAAGAAGCTAGCAGAAAAATAAATTCCATTAGGAGAATGCTACTTGAACCAAAAGAAAATTGTATATGTAGCAGTATAAGAGACCAATTTCAGAAATTATAGAAAACTGTAGCAGTAATACCCCCTCCTAATTACGTCCTATTTATTTATATTGGATTCTAACAGATATTAGCTATTAACATTACATTTGTTCTAAAAACCTAACACTTATTATTATAATTCATCAAAAAACTGTCAGAAATGTTCTAATTATGGAATGCTTAAAATGAAGAAAATTTGCTTTGTTGGAGGCACCATTAAATAAGTCTAACCCATGAACTTGTAGCCAGATATAATGGGCTGTGACTCAGTCCTTACAAAGAATAGTCCTTGGAAAGTCATTTATACATTTTTGTACAAGGAAGATCATTTTGGTGGCTGTGTACAAGCCAGAGTCACATGAAAGTATGTTGAGGAAAGACTAACCGGCTGGGGGTTGACGGAAGTAATGCAGACAAGAGATACCAAGGCCTAGACTAAAATGAGGAACATGAGTCCAAGGGGGTTAAGGGTCACCGTAACAGCAGGATGACTGTAAACTAATGCAGCAATTTTTAAAATCTGGGCACAATTTCTTTACCTGATTCTATTATTATCTTAAACTATACTAAAACAGTTACTCACTTGTGTTTAGTCTTATTTTCTCTATTAGAGGGTAAGCTCCTTGAGGACAGAAATTCCTTTAGTATAGATGTTAAATAAATAATATTTAATTAATAGGATATGTGTATGGGGGGGGTCACTTAATTTAATAAAATAAATTGTGGAGATAACAAAAAACACAGAATTTTCTTAAAACTATTTTTAAAAGAATCCTCTCAGAAATTTAAGAGAAATTTTATGTCAATTATGTACAACTGTCAAATGCATGATCACTGCCTCATGATGATAATTTTTACTTGGTGGATGAAAAGCAGTTTGAAACGAGTTGGTCCTTTCCTACATTTTTGGATAAAAGGTCATTTCATGTATTATCATTTTTTCCTCTCAACTTATTTTTTCAAAGAATACAGCATGATTTATTCTTAAATGTTCAAAAGCAGGAAAACTATTAATTTTTTTCAGATATATACATGAAGGTAAAAGTTTCATGTTTTACCTTCAAAACAAAACATGTATATATGTTAAAATCCTAGCTTTCAAACCTGGTTAACCTAAGGAATTTATAACACAAAATCAGGGCAATCATTCTGTGGGGGAAAAACAATGAGAGACAAGGGACTCTTAAGTTCTCTCTTAATGTTCTAGTTTTTAAGAAAAAGGGAAGATCAGTTGTTAAATGACACAGATATGTTTAAATGTACATTTTAGATGCATAACATTACTTTACATTAAATAAGAAACATTTTTCCCCTTCTCAATTTCAAAATTCAGTTATACTGCCTATCCCAAAAATGGGTCAAGATGACTAATTAAAGACTAAGGCTTTTACTGAAGATAAAAGCAAACCAATAAAAACAAAAAGGCATATAACCTATAAAAATTCACTTATAATACATCAACTACACATCCAACATTATTAGTATAGCAAAATAAAAATAAATTTTATATATGCTAAATTCCACCCTAAAATTCTAAAATACTCTAACCAAAATTTTTATTTTCCTACATCCTTTACTTCTGCTATCTAACAGTATTTTCCCTTTACAAGTTATCACATAAATTTAAATTGTGAATTCCTAAGGCAGAGAACTCAAATAAGGATGATTATTTAGACCAGAAGATTGAATATTCACATCTAATTGGCACATACCTGAATTTAGGAAGAACTGGGGAGAGTCTCCATGAATGCCCACTGTGCCTGGTCCCAAGGAGTCAGAAAGGGTATTTACAAAGGCAAATACTCCACTCATGATTCCAAAGCCTAAGCCAGAAACTAAAGAGGAAGAAACACGTTAGACCTTTTTCATGCCAAGATTTCTCTTCAAATCAAGTTTCCAAGGACTAGAGAATGCTATTTTGACAGACAAACGGTATATGTGCTGCTGGAGAAACAGTGGAAGGCTGGCTCAGGAAAGACTGTGCTTGGCTAAATGATAAACAGAAAAGGGTGTAAATAGGGAAGTGAAGGGAAATGAACAGTGGAATATAGCAGAGAAATGAAAAAAGAAAAAGATCTAAAAAGGCACAGAAACAATAGGTGAGAGAGGACACAATGCTGCAGTTCTGGCTTTGGTTTATGATAACAGTCTGTAGAATTAAGTATGAGGGCTTGAAACTGGAACCAAGCTTGAGGGATGACTGCCTATAGTAGAAAGTAATTTCTGGGTCAAACTAGGTTGATTCAACTTAGGGATCTAGAACCAATCTTTAAAACATAATTCTAAAAGAAAATCCTGCAGAGATATTAACTATATTAACATGGAAAATCCTCCTATCAGAGCCAAAGTTAGGGTAACAACCCAACGGAGATAAAAGTAACATTACTTAAAAACTTAACTAGAGTATATGCATATTAAAAACTTAACTAGAGTTATGCATATTAAAAGCCCAACTTTCAAACCTGGTCAACTATTTAATGAACATACAGGTCACCTATAATTACTTCCCTTTACATAACGGTTCTGGAAAGCTAGAAAAATAAACAATGTACACCAAAAGGTCAAGGCAATAATAAAATACTATTTAAAATCTACAAAGATGGTGTGCCTAGGAGGCTCAGTCTGTTAAGTCTCCGACTCTTGATTTTGGCTCAGGTCATGATCTCAGGGTCATGGGATTGGATCAAGCCCCACATTGCGCTCCATGCTCAGTGGGGAGTCTGCTGGAGATTTTCTCTCCCCTTCTTCCTCTCCCTCTGCTCCTCTCCCATGTCTGCCCTTGTGCAAGCACTCTCTCAAATGGGTAAATCTCTCTCCTAAAAAAACAAACAAACCAAAAAAACCCCCCAAAACACATAACTACAAAGATATAAAAAATAAAAATGGCTTTTATGTCAAATCTAGCTTTTACTCTTAATGACACCATGCAGTTCCAACTTACCATAGGCCAGCAATCGCATAGAAGGTGCTGTCTCATCTGGGTTTATAGTCTTCAAACCCTCGCTGGCTTTTCTAAAATAAAACCACACAATTTTTTAAAAGGAAAAGCAGTATATCAGGAAAATACACAAGGTATTTCAAAATCTACTTATTGAGGCTCCTGCTCAGGTTATACCTTAAATCTAAAATTCATTTAAAGAATCTTAACTATAGAGAACAGATGGTTACCCCAGCGGAAGTGGCTGGGGGACGGGCTAAATAGGTGATGGGGATTAAGGAGTGCACTTGTGATGAGAACTGGTGATGTATGAAGTGTTGAATCACTGCGTTGTAGAAATGAAACTAATATTATCCTTTACGGTAACTGGAATAAAAGTAAAACCTAAAAATAGTAAACAAAATAAAACAAAATCCATTTAAACTAAACCCAGCAAATTTTCAATTAATATCAACCAAAATTTCCAACCAATTTGCCTCTTATCTGACTTTTCACAAAGAAGGGAAAAAAATAAGAAAAATTTAAGTAAACAAACCATCAGGGATTGAACTAGTAAGAAAAAAAAAGCAATGGTTCTATTTTCTGAGCTCAGTAAATATTTAATTCAATGTCCTATCTATCACTCTGAATTTTTCCCCTCTTACGAAGTACTTAGACCTTCAATTCCACCAGGGTTATAGCTATTTTGCTACCCTCCCGTTTACCTTCCATTTTGTAGAACCTAAATTATACTCATCTTCCAAAATCTCTTTTAGTAAGCAGTTTCTCAAAGAAGTCATCTCTACCAGTGACTGCTAATCACTAATCCCTCCTTACTCTTCAATCCTAGAATGCCCATGATCTGAGCTCTCATAGGGTTACTTAATCATATGATCTTCGGATGATAAAATATTCTACATATTTGTTTCATATCCCAATCAGGCTTCAGGGGGGAATTAATCAGAGAAGATGCTAGAAAGACAATAAATGAATACCTAAATGAAACATTAGAATACTGGTCACTAAGAAATAATCTTCACAGTGATATCTGTGCTTCTGTTGGGAACAATTCTCAAACTTATCTTGAGTCCCTACTCCCATGCAGATGTATTAGGTAGGAATGCAAGGTGTAGCTGTCAGTTCTATTACTGTCACGATTACTAACACTTGTTGCTAAAAACTCTGCAAAAATGATCCTGACTCAAAGGATATTTACATTGTATTTACAAGAAGGTGTATTTGTTAAAGCAATAAAGAAACCAAACATTTTAGATTGATTTTTCACCAAGGGCTGAAACAAAATGAGTTAGGTTAACTCTAAGAGTAGAAAATTTAATTAACTAGAAGATACGTATACTCTGGGCATTGTGTTAATTTAAATTTCAAGGTATTCATATTCAATATAGCAGGCCTATTCATTACATAAATATAAATACCATTGGTTACTTTAAATTAAGGCAATGTAGAATTCAACCATAGTAGTAATAAGAATAATGAAAAGGAACTTTTTCTTTTCTAGACTCAAAAGAAACAATTTGCCATTTCAGGGCTCTCCATTTAGCATTATTTGGTAGCAAGGACATTAATCAAAACTTAAGTGGCTGTATCATCTTTCTCTGGAGCAGTAACCAACCAAAATGTTCAATTTTCCTAAATAAAATAACTTGTCACAGGAATGTTGTTAAAGGCTAATTAAAGGGCACCTGGGTGGCTCAGTGGGTTAAAGCCTCTGCCTTCGGCTCAGGTCTGTGATCCCAGGGTCCTGGAATCCAGCCCTGCATCGCATTGGGCTACCTGCTCAGTGGGGAGCCTGCTTCCCTTCCTCTCTCTGCCTGCCCCTCTGCCTACTTGTGATCTCTGTCAAATAAATAAATAAAATCTTAAAAAAAAAAAAAAAGGCTAAAGCTGAGAGACATATATGATAGCAATCTCTATCAACAAGTAGACATAATGGCACAACAGAATCAAATTTTAGAGGATTTGTTTTATATAAATTGCTCAATAATGAATAAAACATTTTTGCTATCTGGTATAGCAAGGCATCACAAATATATTAAATATATAAATTCAAAAGTCTAATAAACTTCCTCATTCTATGTTGCAAGTTTATGAGAGGAAAGGTCTATGGAAACAGTTCTCAACGCTAACATTAGGAAATGGAAAAGTAGAAAACACCATTAGTTTCCATGGTCCTGATGGATAGAACACATGATGTAAGGGACAGTGTTTTTCTTCTTATTTAAAAAAAAAAACATATAGTGTATTATTTGTTTCACGGGTACAGGTCTGTGATTCATCAGTCTTACTCAATTCACTGCATCACCATAGCACATACCCTCCCCAATGTCCATCACCCAGCCACCTCATCTCTCCCACACACCTCCACTCCAGCAACTGTTTGTTTCCTGTGATTGAGTCTCTTAAGGGGTGTCTGGGTGGCTCAGTGGGTTAAAGACTCTGCCCAGGTCATGATCCTGGGTCCTGGGATCGAGCCCCACATCAGGCTCTCCGCTCAGTGGGGAGCCTGCTTCTCTCTCTCCCTCTGCCTGCCTTTCTGCCTACTTGTGATCTCTGTCTGTCAAACAAATAAAGTCTTAAAAAAAAAAAAAAGAGTCTCTTAAGATTTGTCTCCCTCTCTGGTTTTGTCTTGATTTTTCCCTCCCTTCCCCGATGATCCTCTGTCTTGTTTCTCAAATTCCTCATATCAGTGAGATCATATGATAATTGCCTTTCTCTGATTGACTTATTTCACTTAGCATAATACCTTCTAGTTCCATCCATGTGATTGCAAATGGCAAGATTTCTTTTTTTGATGGCTGCATAATATTCCATTGTATATATATACACACCACATCTTCTTTATTCATTCATCTGTTGATGGACATCTACACTCTTTCCATAGTTGGGCTATTGGGACAGTGTTTTTAATTTGACCATTTTACTGAAGTGGAAAATTCTGTTTACATTTATTACTATTTCCAAGAACAAAAAAGACAAAGTTCAATTTTTGAAATATAAACTTTGTGGGGGCACCAGGGTGGTTCAGTTGGTTAACTGTCTGCCTTTGCTTAGGTTGTGCTTTCAGGGTCCTGGGATAGAGCCCCACCCTAGGCTCCCTGCTTCTCCCTCCCCCTTGGCTCTTCTCTACCTCTGACTCACGCTCTAATAAATAAATAAAATCTTAAAAAAAAAAAAAAAAGAAATTGTAGTAATGATTATCGTAACATTTTTTCTATAAATGGAAGATGTTCTAAAATTAGGAAATATTTATGGTATCAGCATTATAAGACAAAACTGGATTAAATTACAAAAGCTTCAAGTCAAAAAATGTTTAATGTATGTTTTAGGCAAAATATGCAACCATAATTTGGATTTTTTAAAGAAACTACTATAGGAAGGACTATCACTTGTGGCCATGCCAGTTTCTCACAGTACCGCTCTTAGCTATGCTGAAAGTTACAATTCATTTATTCATTCCTCAAGATGAAGTACTTGTTCCCAAGGCCTGACCCATGAAATAAATCTATATGAGACTGAAGTGATAAATATTTTAATTCAATTTCATATATATAAAAAACTTTCATATTATAATCTTGGCACCAAATTCAGATAGCAAAATTGTGGTTGGAGCAGTATTTTTTTTTTTTAATAAACATATAATGTATTATTAGACCCAGGGGTACAGGTCTGTGAATCGCCAGGTTTACACACTTCACAGCACTCACCATAGCACATACCCTCCCCAATGTCCATAACCCCACCACCCTCTCCCTCCTCACCCCTCCGTTTGTTTTGTGACATTAAGAGTCTCTTATGGTTTGGGCGCCTGGGTGGCTCAGTGGGTTAAGCCGCTGCCTTCAGCTCAGGTCATGATCCCAGGGTCCTGGGATCGAGTCCCGCATCGGGCTCTCTGCTCAGCAGGGAGCCTGCTTCCCTTCCTCTCTCTCTGCCTGCCTCTCTGCCTACTTGTGATCTCTGTCTGTCAAATAAATAAATAAAATCTTAAAAAAAAAAAAAAAAAAAAGAGTCTCTTATGGTTTGTCTTGGAGCAGTACTTTAAAGTTGAAAACCTACTTTGGAAGTGGAGATAGCTAATATATTAATTAAACCAAAGTTCCTATGTTTGAATCTAGTACAGCACAAGAGCAAGTTAAACATATTTATATGTTAGTCATGAATAAAGTATCATAATAATTCTCAAACTTGTTTTAACATATAACTACATGACAGCCACCATTTCTAAAATTTGCTAGAAAAATATTGTACAATAATGCAAAGGCTTGGTGAAGATGCATTTTGCAATGGGAAGTCAAGTCACCTATTAGAACAGGTTTGTCCTATTTTGTTTGTTAATTTCCAAAGGCCCTTTCAGAGGAATAATCATGGTTTCCAAAGAAGGCCAAAGAGGCTTCTCTGAACTTGGTGGCATGGGAGCCTTGACGGACCTATAATTCCTTTCCAGTATGTCCCCACTCCCTCACTGTCCTCATTACAAAGAGCAAGCTATGTTCAGCTTGTAGTCCTTTAGAACCATAGGACAGTGGCAATAAAAGGTTGCATGCCAGGTATAATCCATAAAGAAACAAGGTGGTAAAGACCAGCAGATTTAGTCATTCCAGGTAAGTCGGATTTTAGAACCTAATATCCTAGGGGGTTGTTAAACCCATGTCCCTAAACTGTGAAAATCTATTCAAAATTAGGTCTGCTCCAAAAGTAGGATGAACATATGTGAAAATGCAAAACCAACATGAGCCAGTGATACTGCTGACAGGAAAAAAACAGTGCAACCTGAGACTGACTTCAGAGTACAGTGCCCAAGCAAGGGTGGGAAAGACCACTGCTCTCTGTACGACTTTGACCACAGAAGGTTACTGTGTTGGGTCCTAAGCACAGGTAAACTCCAGGCACTAACAAAAACAGGTGTCTATTGACAAAAAAGAGATGGAAAGGTTTAGAAGCCATATCTATGTCTTCTGAGGGCCAGGTAAAGGAATGAGGTATGTGTAGCCTTGAAAGAGATAAGATGACAACCATGGAACAGATATTTCATTTGGCTATGTGGGGCAGAGGTCAGAAAGAGGGAGATTTTGATTACCTGAATATACTGTACAGTTAAAAATAATTTTAGAATTAAAGTAATTGCTACATATCACAAAACATTCAACCACAGCTGAATAGATGTTCCATCTATTAAGGATTATATTCTTGTGGAAGCTTAAATTGTTCCTACTTGGTTGTTGCTCTTTGATAGTTTCAGAAACTAATGGAAATTTCATTTTTAAACCTTTTCTAAGATTTTTACTTCTAAGCAATGGCTTCCTGGCTTGCTATTTGTAATTAGAAGTGCTTCATTATTAAATTTCACTATTACTAAAAGCAACCAGTAAGGGGGCGCCTGAGTGGGTCAGTTGGTTGAGAATCCAACTCTTGATTTTAGCTCAGGTCATGATCTTAGGGTCATAAGATCAAATCTCATGAGATCTCTGCTCAGTGTGGATTCCTTTTGAGATTCCCCCTCTCCCTCCACCACCCTCTTCTCTAAAATAAAGAAATGAATCTTTAAAAAAAGAAAAAGGCAACAAGTAGGGGCAGCTGGTAGCTCAGTTGTTTAAGCCTCTGTTGATTTCAGCTCAGGTCATGAGCTCAGGGCTGTGAGATGGAGCCCCACATGAAGCTCCACATTGAGCATGGAGCCTGCTTAAGATTCTCTCTCTCCCTCTGCCCCTCCCCACCCCCATACTTTAAATAAATAAATATATATATATAACATATTTCAAAGCAACAAGTAAAAAATACAGAAGGCCTGGCATGTTGGCAAGAACAAATTATCAGAAGCCTATTACAAGAGATGTTTTTGAGACTCTGTCTTGATTGCATACATGAAATTTGTGGAATGCCTTAATTATCTCATTTGCAGAAATAAAAAGAGCACACTCATCACTTTATTAAGGCATACTATGTAATCAAAGCCAACCTCATGACTGCCTGAAAGAAAATACAGTTCTAAGTTCAAGCTGTGTTTCAAATCCGCGGTTTCATGTGAGGTCCTCATGGATCCTACAGATGACCTACTTCCTGGCCTTAAAAAAGAACTCATAACCCTGGTTTTTTAAATATATTTTTCTATTATAGACATGAAATCACATGAAACATCACAAAATAAACCCCTGTTTTCCCCTAATACAGCCAAAATAATAGTAGGCATAATCTCCATAAAAATTATTTATTTTCAGTGGTGGCAAAGAGAAGCACACATTAATTCTAAGCTGGAACAGTATTTCAGTGACTATTTCTCTAGCTTATTTTCCTGCAGGGCACTTATTATCTTCTAGCATACAGTGTATTTTCTTGTTCATTCAGTATTGTCTCTTTCCACCATAACCTCCATGAAGACAGAGATGGTCTTTTATTCATCCTGTATCCCCAGTGCCTAGGACAGTGCCTGGCACTGAGTAAATTCTCAAGAAATTTTTTGAATGAGTGAAGGAAGAAATGTCCACAGGTTAAAATACTCAGTATTTGCAGGGCACCTGGGTGGTTCAGTCGGTTGGGCGTCCAACCCTCGATTTCAGCTCCAGTCACGGTTGTGGGATCAAGCCCCAAGATGAGTGGGCTCCACTCATCTTGGGAGTCTGCTTGAGATTCTCACTCTCTCCCCCCCTCTTCTGCCCCTCCCCACCACACAAATGCACGCTCTAAAATAAATAAATCTTTAAAAAAATACTCAATATTTTCAGGCTGGAAATGTACAACCCCTTGACTTACAACTCTGTAGGAAGGCACAGACCCTCAATACCACACTATATTAAGGTTTCAAACTATTAAATCATAATTCAAATATAAATGGGAAAAAAAGTAAAGCAAATATTTAACTTACTTTAAGAGTTTATAATACACAAACCGAAACATTTCTTGGATAAGGACTGAGACCAACACTCCCAAGATCAGCAGATATTTCTGTATTGGTCCATCTTTGTTGTCAGTGATTGTTCTTGCCATGAACCAAAAAAGGGAGGAAAACAGCAGAGACACCAACCAGAAAAAAGCTCTGAAAAATAGAGAAAGGTGTAAGTGAACAGGATTCATAATGATTTAAAAGTGAGAAAACCCTACTTGAGAAGGAACAGATTTCCTGACTCTTTTATGAGGGGGAAAAAGGTCTTCATAAATTGATGCCCTGGATCATTTGTTCTTTTTTTAAAAAAACATTTATTTAGTTTTTTTTTTAATTTATTTGACAGATCACAAGTAGGCAGAGAGGCAGGCAGAGAGAGGAGGAAGCAGGCTCCCTGCTGAGCAGAGAGCCAGATGTGGGGCTCTGTGGGGCTCCATCCCAGGACCCTGAGACCATGACCTGAGCGGAAGGCAGAGGCTTTAACCCACTGAGCCACCCAGGCGCCCCCTGGATCACTTCTTAATCAATGGTTCATTTTCCCTGGTGAGATGAACATGCAGTCCAAGAGGAATGTGAGATTTTTTCCTAGCAATCATTTTTTTCCAGTGGCTCTGCTCCTTCTAAAGTACATCTGCAAACTGTCAAGGACTATCTAGCTAAAAACCTGGTTATTTGCTACTCTTCCTAACTAGTGCTTTGCCCATTCATATGCAAATATGTATCTTTCTCTCCCCCACCACCCCGCCCCCCAAAAAGTCTACATCTCTATTAACGGAGTGATTGGTATAAAATTCAGAGGTTGAAAACCTGTTGAAATCTAAGTCAGCTTTCCAGGCTTGGCTTCAACAACACACCAGAGGATTTTAATGATTATAACAAGCTTTACAAGTCTTTTGCTCAAATCTCCTTTGTTTTTAAAATGACCCATCTGATGCGGCACTTTCAATACAGTTGTGAGAGGTGAAGCAGCTCAGAAAAGGCGGTTATCACTGGCCTACCATGGCTGTTTCTCCAGGTACTAAGTGAATCTCAAAGGTGGAGGGGGAGGTGCGGCGCCCCCGGAAGAGCTGCCAGACAGGTGAAAACCGGGATTATGACCACATTCGCCGCAAGAGTTCAGTATTTACCAAGCTCCTGCAAAGAGATGCACTGACAGGTGCTTCGGTGTTTTCACGGGTTTCCACGGGTTGCCACCCTTTAGCTCTACACCTGAATCACCTGGGGAGCTTAAAAAAAAATCCGTAGCCCGAATCCCACCCCCTAGACATCACGATTTGGCTGATCTGGGGTAGGGGTCGGGCACGGGTATGCTTTAAAGCACCTAAGCTCCAGGGGCTAATGTGCTCTTAACCCATTTGGGATTGATTACAGATGTCTGTGAGAATCTGAGGGCAACTAGGGACCCCCTCCTGTAAAATAAAAGTAAAAATAAAAGATGAAAAATTTGAACTTACCCACAATTTTTTCATACAATTTTAATGGCTGCACAACTCAACAGAACCCACCCACAGACACTCGGCAAAAACTCAGGAGCCATACATCAGGGTTTTCTGAGCTCCTTCCCCAAAGCCCGGCCTGTGGGGTCCTGGGGCTCTTTTTCTTTTTCCGCCGACCCTCGGAGGACGAAGAGTACCAGAGGAGCGGGATCTCGGCTCTCCCCGTCCCAACCCTTCTCCCCTCCAAAGCCCAACAAGGTCGAGCCCCTTGGCGGGGACGCCGGGGGTCGCCGCTACCTCCGGCAGGGGAGGAGAGCCCCAAGTCCGGGTTTCCCGGAGCAACCGCCTCACCCGATGATGAGGAAGATGACGCGCAACGGCTCGGTGGCGATGGTGAAGATGTAGAGGGCCAGCGCAGGCCCGAAGGCAATGAAGGCGCAGCCAAAGAACACGGCCGCCGTCATGGCGACCGCGGAAGCCGGCCGGGAGGCCTAACAGGGACGCAAGGTGCGCTGGGCGCTGATAGAGCTGAGCGCGGCGCAGGGGTGCGAGCAGGGAGCGACCGAGGGGCTGGAGGAGACGCGGAGGAGGCGGGGTCCTCTCTCTCTGCCTGCCTCTCTGCCTACTTGTGATCTCTGTCTGTCAAATAAATAAATAAAATCTTAAAAAAAAAAAAAAAAAAAGAGTCTCTTATGGTTTGTCTTGGAGCAGTACTTTAAAGTTGAAAACCTACTTTGGAAGTGGAGATAGCTAATATATTAATTAAACCAAAGTTCCTATGTTTGAATCTAGTACAGCACAAGAGCAAGTTAAACATATTTATATGTTAGTCATGAATAAAGTATCATAATAATTCTCAAACTTGTTTTAACATATAACTACATGACAGCCACCATTTCTAAAATTTGCTAGAAAAATATTGTACAATAATGCAAAGGCTTGGTGAAGATGCATTTTGCAATGGGAAGTCAAGTCACCTATTAGAACAGGTTTGTCCTATTTTGTTTGTTAATTTCCAAAGGCCCTTTCAGAGGAATAATCATGGTTTCCAAAGAAGGCCAAAGAGGCTTCTCTGAACTTGGTGGCATGGGAGCCTTGACGGACCTATAATTCCTTTCCAGTATGTCCCCACTCCCTCACTGTCCTCATTACAAAGAGCAAGCTATGTTCAGCTTGTAGTCCTTTAGAACCATAGGACAGTGGCAATAAAAGGTTGCATGCCAGGTATAATCCATAAAGAAACAAGGTGGTAAAGACCAGCAGATTTAGTCATTCCAGGTAAGTCGGATTTTAGAACCTAATATCCTAGGGGGTTGTTAAACCCATGTCCCTAAACTGTGAAAATCTATTCAAAATTAGGTCTGCTCCAAAAGTAGGATGAACATATGTGAAAATGCAAAACCAACATGAGCCAGTGATACTGCTGACAGGAAAAAAACAGTGCAACCTGAGACTGACTTCAGAGTACAGTGCCCAAGCAAGGGTGGGAAAGACCACTGCTCTCTGTACGACTTTGACCACAGAAGGTTACTGTGTTGGGTCCTAAGCACAGGTAAACTCCAGGCACTAACAAAAACAGGTGTCTATTGACAAAAAAGAGATGGAAAGGTTTAGAAGCCATATCTATGTCTTCTGAGGGCCAGGTAAAGGAATGAGGTATGTGTAGCCTTGAAAGAGATAAGATGACAACCATGGAACAGATATTTCATTTGGCTATGTGGGGCAGAGGTCAGAAAGAGGGAGATTTTGATTACCTGAATATACTGTACAGTTAAAAATAATTTTAGAATTAAAGTAATTGCTACATATCACAAAACATTCAACCACAGCTGAATAGATGTTCCATCTATTAAGGATTATATTCTTGTGGAAGCTTAAATTGTTCCTACTTGGTTGTTGCTCTTTGATAGTTTCAGAAACTAATGGAAATTTCATTTTTAAACCTTTTCTAAGATTTTTACTTCTAAGCAATGGCTTCCTGGCTTGCTATTTGTAATTAGAAGTGCTTCATTATTAAATTTCACTATTACTAAAAGCAACCAGTAAGGGGGCGCCTGAGTGGGTCAGTTGGTTGAGAATCCAACTCTTGATTTTAGCTCAGGTCATGATCTTAGGGTCATAAGATCAAATCTCATGAGATCTCTGCTCAGTGTGGATTCCTTTTGAGATTCCCCCTCTCCCTCCACCACCCTCTTCTCTAAAATAAAGAAATGAATCTTTAAAAAAAGAAAAAGGCAACAAGTAGGGGCAGCTGGTAGCTCAGTTGTTTAAGCCTCTGTTGATTTCAGCTCAGGTCATGAGCTCAGGGCTGTGAGATGGAGCCCCACATGAAGCTCCACATTGAGCATGGAGCCTGCTTAAGATTCTCTCTCTCCCTCTGCCCCTCCCCACCCCCATACTTTAAATAAATAAATATATATATATAACATATTTCAAAGCAACAAGTAAAAAATACAGAAGGCCTGGCATGTTGGCAAGAACAAATTATCAGAAGCCTATTACAAGAGATGTTTTTGAGACTCTGTCTTGATTGCATACATGAAATTTGTGGAATGCCTTAATTATCTCATTTGCAGAAATAAAAAGAGCACACTCATCACTTTATTAAGGCATACTATGTAATCAAAGCCAACCTCATGACTGCCTGAAAGAAAATACAGTTCTAAGTTCAAGCTGTGTTTCAAATCCGCGGTTTCATGTGAGGTCCTCATGGATCCTACAGATGACCTACTTCCTGGCCTTAAAAAAGAACTCATAACCCTGGTTTTTTAAATATATTTTTCTATTATAGACATGAAATCACATGAAACATCACAAAATAAACCCCTGTTTTCCCCTAATACAGCCAAAATAATAGTAGGCATAATCTCCATAAAAATTATTTATTTTCAGTGGTGGCAAAGAGAAGCACACATTAATTCTAAGCTGGAACAGTATTTCAGTGACTATTTCTCTAGCTTATTTTCCTGCAGGGCACTTATTATCTTCTAGCATACAGTGTATTTTCTTGTTCATTCAGTATTGTCTCTTTCCACCATAACCTCCATGAAGACAGAGATGGTCTTTTATTCATCCTGTATCCCCAGTGCCTAGGACAGTGCCTGGCACTGAGTAAATTCTCAAGAAATTTTTTGAATGAGTGAAGGAAGAAATGTCCACAGGTTAAAATACTCAGTATTTGCAGGGCACCTGGGTGGTTCAGTCGGTTGGGCGTCCAACCCTCGATTTCAGCTCCAGTCACGGTTGTGGGATCAAGCCCCAAGATGAGTGGGCTCCACTCATCTTGGGAGTCTGCTTGAGATTCTCACTCTCTCCCCCCCTCTTCTGCCCCTCCCCACCACACAAATGCACGCTCTAAAATAAATAAATCTTTAAAAAAATACTCAATATTTTCAGGCTGGAAATGTACAACCCCTTGACTTACAACTCTGTAGGAAGGCACAGACCCTCAATACCACACTATATTAAGGTTTCAAACTATTAAATCATAATTCAAATATAAATGGGAAAAAAAGTAAAGCAAATATTTAACTTACTTTAAGAGTTTATAATACACAAACCGAAACATTTCTTGGATAAGGACTGAGACCAACACTCCCAAGATCAGCAGATATTTCTGTATTGGTCCATCTTTGTTGTCAGTGATTGTTCTTGCCATGAACCAAAAAAGGGAGGAAAACAGCAGAGACACCAACCAGAAAAAAGCTCTGAAAAATAGAGAAAGGTGTAAGTGAACAGGATTCATAATGATTTAAAAGTGAGAAAACCCTACTTGAGAAGGAACAGATTTCCTGACTCTTTTATGAGGGGGAAAAAGGTCTTCATAAATTGATGCCCTGGATCATTTGTTCTTTTTTTAAAAAAACATTTATTTAGTTTTTTTTTTTAATTTATTTGACAGATCACAAGTAGGCAGAGAGGCAGGCAGAGAGAGGAGGAAGCAGGCTCCCTGCTGAGCAGAGAGCCAGATGTGGGGCTCTGTGGGGCTCCATCCCAGGACCCTGAGACCATGACCTGAGCGGAAGGCAGAGGCTTTAACCCACTGAGCCACCCAGGCGCCCCCTGGATCACTTCTTAATCAATGGTTCATTTTCCCTGGTGAGATGAACATGCAGTCCAAGAGGAATGTGAGATTTTTTCCTAGCAATCATTTTTTTCCAGTGGCTCTGCTCCTTCTAAAGTACATCTGCAAACTGTCAAGGACTATCTAGCTAAAAACCTGGTTATTTGCTACTCTTCCTAACTAGTGCTTTGCCCATTCATATGCAAATATGTATCTTTCTCTCCCCCACCACCCCGCCCCCCAAAAAGTCTACATCTCTATTAACGGAGTGATTGGTATAAAATTCAGAGGTTGAAAACCTGTTGAAATCTAAGTCAGCTTTCCAGGCTTGGCTTCAACAACACACCAGAGGATTTTAATGATTATAACAAGCTTTACAAGTCTTTTGCTCAAATCTCCTTTGTTTTTAAAATGACCCATCTGATGCGGCACTTTCAATACAGTTGTGAGAGGTGAAGCAGCTCAGAAAAGGCGGTTATCACTGGCCTACCATGGCTGTTTCTCCAGGTACTAAGTGAATCTCAAAGGTGGAGGGGGAGGTGCGGCGCCCCCGGAAGAGCTGCCAGACAGGTGAAAACCGGGATTATGACCACATTCGCCGCAAGAGTTCAGTATTTACCAAGCTCCTGCAAAGAGATGCACTGACAGGTGCTTCGGTGTTTTCACGGGTTTCCACGGGTTGCCACCCTTTAGCTCTACACCTGAATCACCTGGGGAGCTTAAAAAAAAATCCGTAGCCCGAATCCCACCCCCTAGACATCACGATTTGGCTGATCTGGGGTAGGGGTCGGGCACGGGTATGCTTTAAAGCACCTAAGCTCCAGGGGCTAATGTGCTCTTAACCCATTTGGGATTGATTACAGATGTCTGTGAGAATCTGAGGGCAACTAGGGACCCCCTCCTGTAAAATAAAAGTAAAAATAAAAGATGAAAAATTTGAACTTACCCACAATTTTTTCATACAATTTTAATGGCTGCACAACTCAACAGAACCCACCCACAGACACTCGGCAAAAACTCAGGAGCCATACATCAGGGTTTTCTGAGCTCCTTCCCCAAAGCCCGGCCTGTGGGGTCCTGGGGCTCTTTTTCTTTTTCCGCCGACCCTCGGAGGACGAAGAGTACCAGAGGAGCGGGATCTCGGCTCTCCCCGTCCCAACCCTTCTCCCCTCCAAAGCCCAACAAGGTCGAGCCCCTTGGCGGGGACGCCGGGGGTCGCCGCTACCTCCGGCAGGGGAGGAGAGCCCCAAGTCCGGGTTTCCCGGAGCAACCGCCTCACCCGATGATGAGGAAGATGACGCGCAACGGCTCGGTGGCGATGGTGAAGATGTAGAGGGCCAGCGCAGGCCCGAAGGCAATGAAGGCGCAGCCAAAGAACACGGCCGCCGTCATGGCGACCGC